AGTCAGCTCCATTGGTCAACCAACTTGAAAATTGCAATTGGTAGGTAAAGTTTCTCCTTCATAGCGCAAAAATGTTTCAAGAGAGAGAGAGTACGAAATGGAAAATCATTAATGCAAACTGTAAAGCCAATTTGACCTTAGTTTGGAAGTCTTGGCTTGGACATTGTTCTCGTATGAAAGACTGAAGAAAATGTGCAGTTTTGGTCAGCATGAATGAGTGGAAAATCTTGGAAAGATGTTGCAATATCTTCTACAGTTTGGGTTACCTTCCATTGATAACGAGATATGAAAAAAGTGTCAAGATCGATTTAATCGATTATATTATTCGTCACAGTCTTATTATGTTGATTCAACAACTTATATTTAAAACAAGAGATGAAAAAAGTACCAATTTCGATTTAATCAATTATGTTATTCATCACGGTTTTATGTTTGATTCAACAATTTATATTTAAAACGCTTCTCAACTTGAAATTCCTCATTGGCCAAGTAATTTCTATATCAACTTGAGTGGACGAAAGGCATGATGATCTCTTACATTTTAAGAGTGTTAAATATGTGTTGATCGTTTAGTACTAACCTTCATATGTATTTTTACCATATCCAGATAGCATCATATTAACGATCCTTAATGAGGCGCATCCAAGACAATTAAAATAGAATATTATTATTTATTATTATAATAATCAAAAATCGATGATGTGACAATTTAGGTAGAATAATGGGATATAACAATTTAATCACTCTATCTCGTGAAAAATGAACAGTCATATCCCATTATTCAACCTAAATTGTCACATCATCAATATTCTATTATTTTAATGATAAATAACATAACTGATTAAAATATGATGATCCCGTGTAATGTCATGTAATGATCCACTAACTAGCATAAGAGATTCAACGCTCACGTTGAGACTTGAGATAGCCATTAACGTGAAATCTCCATGTAAGCCATCCAATTCTGCGCCTTAACAAGGTACCCATGTATTCATTTAAATAATGTCTTCATAATTTAGCTCGTGAGATTGACTTATTTTTCATAAGAAAGAGATTGTGGACTATAAATAATTTAATATTAAGTTATTTATAACTTGCATGTCACGATGACGACACTCGGTATCAAAACTGATCTTTAGACTCCATTATGTTTTAATCAATAAATTAGTATTATTAAAATAATAAATTATCCACTAATGTAAATGTATTAATCAAATAATTAGTACAGTGTTTACACCCTATTAGCTAT